TCTGGCACATTTTGCAGAGCACCAAAAGTTTATCAGAACTTAAAAAGCCAAACCACTTCCACACCACTGAATTATTCTTTCCTCTCTAATCAACTATTTCATCTGCATTCATACTTGAATAAGCTTGTTCGTTCATATCTGTATTCAGGGCACTCATTTAGTAGCTAAAACTTTCTGCGATGGTGCAGTTTAACCAACTGCTGAGTGCTGGCAGCATGTCATGGATGTACATCATCATGCTCTTTCTAATGGCTGAGCACTGAACGTCATTCAGTGAGAAATGATAATGTATACAATGATACATATATAATAATATTATATATTTTATTTTATTATTATATATATTATATGTTCTGCCCTCACTCCGGCATCTCTCTTGCCAAAGTTAAACAGACAGATAAACTCTTTCCAACACGTGAGATTGTGGGAGAATGATGCTTTATTCCATGCCACATTGAGTATGTTGAAACAGAGTGAAACTATGTAAAAAGATGTAAATGAGCTATAGTTTTCTATGTACATAACAATAATATCTGAGAATATAAACACAAACAGATAATAAACTTACAGACAATGCTTCTATATATATATATATATAAGCTTTTAATAATTATGTACACAGTTCACTCAGTCACTATCTTTCAGCTTAATCCCTGATTTATCAGAGGTCGCCACAGTAGAATGAACCACCAATTTACATAGTTCATTTATTTTATCATATAAAAGCATCAGGTTCGTTCAATTTTTTAAGTGAAGTCAACTTTTTACAGTGTATGGATGACAGTCATTTAAGTTTTCAGTAATCTGTGTGAATGGGAATTATTTAGACAATGTTATGATTTGTATTTACAAGTAAATAATGAGTGAAACGTTTTGGCATTGTTATGTGAACACTCTAAATCACTCTTTCCACCTATCCAGTCTGCTCTTCAACCAAGTCCATATTTGAAGGACTTTGTTGGATTCAATGGGCTGAGAGTGAGTTACACCATCCTCTTGGCCTTTTAGGTCATCTCTGAAGTCCTGGTGTTTCGGACTCCCTCAGGAAATGCTGAGGTACAAAGGTTCAAAGAAACCTACATAACAACAACCACTTCACCCTTTCATCATCTTTATTTACGCGTGATGTATGAAGTGTGAAATGACCTGCATTACTGATTATATTTAAGATGGGGAGTCTCTCGGAAAAAGCTTATGACTTTCACCCCCTCCAGTCTATTCTCTGGCAGTTGATGCAACATGCCTGAAACTCTTCTTGCGCAGCTGAAATAGAAATGAAGGGGAACTTTGGGTTCATGCAGTCTTTATATTTGGGTTTCAGATCATGAAATTCATGTGCAAGTTTTGTCTGGGCAGAAAGAGGGACTTTAACGTATTTGTCCTTTGGTAATAATGTGTGATGTAACTCTACAACTCCAAAACTTTGGGATGAAGTCAGCAGTCTCTTCCCTCTGAAAATCTCAAATGGACACTATTTATAAGGCTTTTGTGTTTGGTAGTGTTTTATGAAAAATCTATACTCCAAAAATAAAATATTTAATATTTACTTAATTTATACAGTATGTTGAATGATCACATAGACACATATTTTGAAAAACAACTCCTTGAACAACACAAAATGTAAGCAAAATTTTCAGCATCCCATTTGGTGACATTCCCTAAATAAGTTCAATGATTTTATTTTAAATAAAATTATTTAATAGTATTTATTAATATTTAAAATTAGCTGTTGTATTTGACTTGAGTTTAATTTGATACATTTTTATCTGCTATTGTCATTGTATTTGTTTAAAAAATATTTAGCTTTTATTTTATTTTTGTTTAACTTGTTGCCATTTCAGTACAGCTAATAGTTTAGAACTTTTGCTCGTGCTACTGGTGTACATGTTATTTTTGTGGGAAGACTTATTCTTATCATGGGAAGATTTTTTATTGGAATATTGCAAACAGTAATCTGTCACCCATCCTATTAAGAATAATTAAGCTTTACCAGTTGCAGAATAAGAAGAGAATAAAAACAGGAACAGATACTATTTTACTGTTAAACAATTAAAAAATATTTAAAACTAAGCTATTCAAACCAAACCTAAGTATTATAATTCATTTAAGCATTCCAGTATTTTATTTCGTTTTCTTTTCACAAACTGTGAGTCAGCACCCTTACTAGTTGTCACACAACCAGCGATCGCTTCCCAGAAGATCGCTGGTTCTCACACGAACTCTAAACTACATTTCCGCATTTCCCAGGACTACATTTTCATACATGCACTGCTCCCAAACACGCACGCCTGCTCACTCATATATCCTGATTGCAAGCACCAGCTGAACCTTGTTCACAGACTGATTTGATTCCATTCTTAAGCCACTCTCTCACGCTACCAGTTTGCCGAGTCTTGTTTTACCTAGTGTTACATTACAACGCGTTTCCCTGTCTTGTTTCTCCGTGTCTTGATCCTAGCCTTTTACCTTTGTTATCCTGTTTAGCCGCCTGCCTTTCGACCTTTTTGCCTGTTTAACGTTTACGATTCTGGACTGCCTTTATATACCCGTTTGCACCTGATTTGACCATTGCTTGCCTGACATTGAATAAACCTGCATATTGGATCTTACCTCCTGTTGTCTCTTGTCACTTCACCCCAGTCGTGGTAACACTAGTGTTTCCATTTTGTAAACAAAATAACAAAAAACAAACTAAGCATGTGTGGTACGGTATATGCATACTATTCTGGTGATAAAATGAACTTTTTAGCTAATTTTGCCAATGGGCATACAATGTTAGTAGAACATAGACCGTATATAGGGACAAAAACATCAATGAAACTAGCATTGGCCAAAACTGAATTTCAGCAGATTAACATCACTATGGCAGCCATTAAGAAGACATTCATATTGTGGTTGTAATGCTTACTTTTGTAGCCAAGGCACAACTCTTGAAGTTTGCTTGACTATGTAGTGCACTACATACATTTGATGTTGACCGCCCACAGTGAGGCATCTGGGCATTTGAAGCCCAATCAGGGCAGCTCGCCAATTCTATGAGGAGCATGACCACATGCGCAAATCCATAGGAATGCTTCTCAGAACAAACCACAATTTGTCTTTTTGTACTATCTACTGGGACTTTGAATCCGTATCTTTTGCTCAGAAATCTCTGATCTGCTGGTATGTTCGCACACCATTTTTTGCTTTTTAAAGCATTTTGTACTGTGATGAAAATCATTGGGGATGTTACTGCTGAGTTGGGTGTCTCTACCATAACATAATCAGCAGCTTTCTCTCAGCTTACGTTTACAAAGAACACAGTCTGTGTAAGAACAAACTGCTCTGCAGTCAAACAACAGCAAAAGCTAGTTTTGCGGGATCTCAGTGCTGGTGAGCATGATGGTGACGATTGGGAAGTTGCATCCGTAGCATTTGACACTAAAGTTTTAGCTCCCCACTGTGTCACTTGGTGGGTGGGATGAAGATAAAACGAAGTGGAATCCGCAGCTTTGTTTTTGCTAGCAATTTGTGACCTAATCTCAAACAAACACTAAGGTGTATTAAGTGTTACCGAGTCATAATTTTGTTACCTATAGAGAACAAAATTTACAAACTGTGAACAATTTTATGAGAATACTTTTAAGTTTTTACATGCATACTGAGTTTGAGGTGTTTTGGGGAAGGGTTGATGAAACCTGCACATTTTGAGGTGGGAGTTCATCCACTGGTGGTCTCACAGATCAAGCATTGACTTTGTGTGTGGCGTTCTGCCCTCCATCTGTCCCCCTTGCCCTGAACAGAGAGGGTCAGTGGTGATCCAAGAGAAGGGCTGTCCTGTCCTCACCCACACTGTCCTCACCTCCATTACACAGTGTGAAACAACAAATTAACCAGCGGCCCTCCAAATGACACCCAAAACCAGCCCAAGTTTGAAAAAAGTTGCTCTCCTGTGTGGTCTGTTTTTTAAGAGTTTTAGCTATTCTTATGTTTTTTTTTTTTTTACTGGATAAATACTACAGGATTAGATGACAAAAAATAAATCCAAATATTAGAAAAAAGCACACTTTCCAGCTTAAGTTCTTCGCAAGATTCATTTATGCAGATTTGTAATTATAAAACAGTAAGAGGATTTTAAACAACAAACACAAAAAATATGTGGGTACTCACAGCAGTGGTTGTCAAACAATAGTGAACAGATCCATAGTTAATTTGATAAAGAGCACCTGTAGTTACTTTGCTTCGACTTGTGTGAACTTAAGGAAAAATAATTTAAACATTCACTACAAAATGACTTTGATGACAAACGGTTCAAACTATTTGAGGAACATAGCAGAAAAGTGGAATGGTATAATAGTATTACTTGTTTATAATTGCTGTTTTGGTTGATATATTGTACCAGTACTGCAGTTATGATGCCAAGACTCTGAAAACTAATTTCCCCCTGGTTTCCAATGTGTTTTATAATGGGATTTTTCAATTCATTAATAAAATATTGTCTGTTGTAAACATAATTGCTGATTCTTTGAGATTTTGTTGTCCTATAAACTTCAGTTGACTCAATAATTGAAACCTTCATTATAATAACCCATAGCAAAATTCTGACGGAACCATGAGCTAATTAGTCTTCTGGGTTTTGCCTGGAATTACAATTAGAATAAAATATGTGAAACTGACATGTAGAAAAACTCTTTTGCAATGCACCACAGAGTTATTAAAGCAAAACAGGCTGTAGTTTGGGTGTATGGGGCGTTATTTGGCAGGTTGATGCTGTGGGCTCTATTTGAAATTGTATTCTGGTAGTGAGGGAGTTTTTCCATCAGTTAAAATTTTTGGTTCAGGTGGACCCCTTGGTTGAAATTGTAGTGTCTTTTCTCCCTATTAGGCATGGCCCTAAACACAAAATAGTGCTAGCAATGCTGCACCCATGGGTTTATACACAGGGAATGCTTAAATATAATATCTATTCAGGTCATCTTGAACTGGTTATAATTATATTTTTTATTTCCCCACAACAATAGATGGAAAAGGTCCTTAATCCCCATACTGAACACCTTTGGGAGGAACAGCGAGGCAGATCCCATGACCAGGTTGATTTTGATTATATATTGCTTGCTCTGCTACATAAATTTAGTACCACTAAAGGAAATGGGCATTTATGTGTGTTCCCATATATTATGTGAAAGGACATAAATAAAACCATAGTATAGTGAGGCAGTGCCATAAGAGAGTGTGTGTAAAAAGAAGGTGAGTTGAATATAAGGGTGAGGAGAGGGGGGTGTGTGCTCAGATTCCGGGGCCTCGCTACCGTTACACACATAAATCAGCCAAGCGTGACTAAATCCCCGGTAACAGGAGCCGAATCTGTGGTCCCCCCAGACCCCGCAGTGCACATCAGTGTGTGAGCACACTGAACCTTCAGCCCCTGCCTTCAACCTCAACACACACCGCTAACCCAAACACTGAGGTCAGCAGTGGACACCGGGCCCTAGACTCAGATAAAGCCATTAAAGCCATTAGAGACAGACATCACCTGAAATCTGCACTGGGGACCCACTGTGAGATCCAATGACGGATGGGAGGTTAAGAACCAAGGACACGCTAAGAGGAAAAGCAAACATCACTGTTAATCATCTTTATGTTTGGTTATATTTTAGTGATTGCCTCAAACACATACTGTAGCAACATACTTTAAAATACCAAGAACATTTTCTTATGTATATCTTTGTAAAGTTATGTTCTCATCTTATGGTTTTTGGTCCTACTGTGATTTTTCAATTCTTAGGCAAGTATTATAGTCTTTCTGCAGTCACCTATGTCATATAATACCTCATAACACTCAGCCTCACAGCTTCACCACAGCCTTTACTGTGTCTGAGCAGGTGGGCTTGACCACCAAGAGACTAATTGTGGTGTGACGTGTTTGTGAGAGGGTAAACATCTGATCCCTCTTGTTCAAGTCCTCAACGTGTTTGTTGTTTGTTTTCAGTCTTGTTTACAAGAGCCACCCCGGCAGTACATGGATGAGTTCCATCCACGCTGTCGTCTGGTTGGAATTCATAGAATGTGGGCCGCAGTTGGCACTGACAGACAATCATCCCTCTCACACCTCTTACCTTACACTCGTCCCCAAACACACACCACCCAATCCGTAATCTAGGTTTACACAGTAAATTTAGACTCAAGTAAACCTGTTGAGAATAATTCACATATTGTCAAAATTAAGAACCTCAGGATACTGTTACAATAGTAAATTCCCTCACCTGAATCCTTGGGCATAAAGACGATCCTGTTTGTCACCATTATGCAGACTGGTTGGAACTTAGATTTCATTTATGGCCAAGACTAGACACATACATTGCTGACCAGACAGACAGCTTTTAGTTAGACATTGATGACCAGCTCAGGCCTGACAGAGGCTGAATTACAGCACTTTATCAACAGCACAGTGCAACTGATATATATGCACCAAGCTCAAGCAGTAATGCTGCGGGTAGTAGCAACAGGATCTTGAGTTTGATTTCCAGGAACTGGGGGAACCACTAAAACCTATCTAGTATATAACCAAAAGTAATAAATTCTGTGCTATGGACAAAAAATTTACATCAATCCATGTAGCCTATTGGCAAGAGTATTTTGAGGTAGGCATACACCCAGAACCGTTTAGAAACAATCCAGCACAACAATGAATGCCCTGTCTGAAAGACTGATTTGAGGTAGGCGTATGCCATAACCTACTCAGAAACTACAATACTTCATTGCCTGTCAGAGAGTCATTAATGATAGATGGGCACACAATATTTTTCGCTAGGGCCATTTTCCTTGTTGTATTTGCCCTGCCAGTACTCTAACGTGATATATACTGAAGAGTTGTGCATTCAATAATGTCAAAAAGTGGAAGTTGTACTTAAGCATTAATTTACCGATCTGTGATTTTCATGGTCAAGAAATTAGTTACTGTATACTGTGGTTTTACATGGCTTTTTAAAATTAGTGGGAGTCTGTATTTTTTATAGGACATGTGTTTGTCTTGTCAGCATATACTTGTCACTCTAGTTTCCCATTGTGTAGGATTATATTCTGAACTTGGAGCTAATTTAGTCCCCTAAGAAGTGTTTTTAAATTACATGAATCCTTGTTCTTGCAATGTGAACAAATAAAAAATCATGCAATTTCACCAATGACAATAAAAACCATGGAAATCTTCCATTGTTTCCCTCATCTGACCTGTGTCATGCACTGATCCACATCTAGTAGTGCACTGTTTACCATCGGTTGACTAGTTGGCCGTTAATCTCTAAAGGTTTTTTGACTTTAAGAGAAAAGTTTCACATGCGGAGTGGGTGCCCTTTGTGCAATGGTAGAACGATAGGAGTTCTACAGTTTTGTTTAATGTTCGCACTGCATTATGTGGCATGACTGTATATTTTACCCACTGGGGTTTAACTGGGATAACTTTCAACAAGCCATTAGCCCAAAGCTGCTTTATGTTATTCTACCAGCATAAAGCAGACAGACCTAATAACCCATGCCAGCAATGGCTGGACTCTTTATCTCTTCCCTATGGAACATTGTCATTCATCAATATCCTCTTAGTTTCTTTTGGAAGCAAGCAGAGTGTACCTTAAAACTCTGTTGTTTTTTCTATTCCATGCCTTAATTCTGGTAATCTTTATTATAACACAGATTTGGTGTTCTGAGTTACTATATTTCCATCCTTGCTTGTATTATGAGACTGTTTCCCTTCATTGCTGCTATGGGAATGGTCACACTTTTGTGGCTAATTGGTTTTATGGTGCCTTATCGTCAGTTGAATCATATGCTCCCCGAGGCGAGCAAGATATTAATGATCTTTTATAGGGTTTTACATCAAAAAACAAACATAGAAGAAAGGTTGAATTACTTTATTACATGAATTGTTTTGTTGCAGGCCATTAAGGGGGTTCTCTTTAAAATATGGCAGTCTATCAGAAATGGAAAAACATGTAAGACTGCCAAGTTTTTCCAAAGATGTAAGAGATCTACTGGAGAGAATTCAGACTGGAGAAGCTGTTGACACTTCACACAGACAAAAATTTGAACTTTGCTCTTACAGAGTTTCCCACTTACTAATTGAAAATGGCACAGTACAGTGGTGACTTTAGTGTCTGCCTGTACCAGTGTATTTTCTTCAGCATCTAATCTGATGTGAGGTCATTGTAAGTTAGCTGGCCATTGAGGCGCTCACCTCGTCCCAGTGTTAACTGATGCACATCAGCCGTTGTGCCTTTGAACCAACCCCCATCAAAGCCCTATCCCATCAGGAGAATGCAGATGCCATCATTATTTTCCTGGCTAGCTTTGAAACTCAAACCCCCTCATCTCTGACCTGCACGTTGGAGCCCGGTGATGATGACAGTGAGAGATGGCGTCTGTTTGCTTTACTTTAGCATTGTGAAGCTTCACTCTGGGATCTTGAGCCAGACTGGGGGCTAGTTTCAGCCACTGGAGGCCAAAGTGTAAAGGAGGAGATGCTATCACACCAAGGAATGGAGCCAGAATGGTCATCGGGGACTTGAGTCCTGGATGGGTAAAGAGAGGCCAGGAGGACTGTGTTTGTCCAGGCTTAAGTCCGAAGGGTAGAGAAAAGGGTCAGGCTTTGCACTGTGACTAGCTATAGCCTCGAAAGAAATACTATATCAGGAACTGATTGAGCTCCTAATGCCTCTTGAAGGACAAAGGGTTTGACAATGCTGAAAAGTAGCCAAGGCCTTTGTGGATGCATGAAAGATGGTAACATTCAAGAAGATTCTGATTGAAGTTCTAGCCTGAAAATAGCAGTAACCATAGTGGAGAAAACAGGATATGAATAAAACCTACTCATGATGCCAACGTGACCTGAAAACACAAAAGTTATATCTTCGAGTACAGAAAAAAAGTCTATATTGTGAAGGCATCTACAAAATAACCAATGAATGTAGATGTCCTGTAGAGTGCTAAAGGGTTTGGATTATCTATGGTAGCTGTTAATTCCTTGTCTGTTTCCTGATTGTACATATGTTGAATGACCTTGTTTCCACTTCATCATGGCAAATTGGGACAAAGCTATATTTTACTCATAGGGGGACTTGACCTTTGATCTTATGGGTGAATGAGGTCACAACCCAGGTGGGACATTGTCATCACTGCCATGACGTGGCAACTTAACCTCCAATTGGCCAGCATGTTTTCAAGGTATGAAAAGAGCTAATATATGAGTTGTCCGTCATGCTAAATGAACTTTTCTCTAAAATCATCCCATGATGCTAGAGACTGGATTCTAAAGAGGATGATGAGTTTGACCTGAAAGCTCACTGTGATGAGGAGCTCAGAGTTTGGCTGCACTCACAATCCATTTATATCTGTGCGTGTGTCATGAGCAATGCGGTCTGACCACATCCATGACTCATTATAAACCAAGTGCCATGAAGTCAAAATAATGAATCACATCAAATGAGAAACAAAATAATTAAAGACAAACCGAGACAAGAGTGCTACAGTAGACAGATGGCCAACTATTTTACATATTGTACACAAAAACTAATTTATGAAAATTTGAGTTTGTTGTAATATATATTGCATTTATAAGTGACATTTAAATACTTTGAATTAAACCTTACTAAAATTGTTTAATTAAAACGTTGTTTTTACATAAAGTAGTAAAAATAAGTTTCAAAGCATTCTAAAACCTTTCCAAGACATTTTAGGCATCCGCCTGTACATATATGTACCCCAAACTGAAGACCCTGAAAATTTCAGCTGTAGTTAGAACATGTACCCCCTCACTGGGGCTGTTGTTATTCATATCTCAACTGGAGTGCAAAAGAAAAACACTAGCCCTGAGCATATTATAAGTGTTGCATAATGGAAAGTTGCCGTAAATCACAGTGGTGCTAGTACATATTAAATTAATGCTAATGCCAGATCAACTCAAATCAAGAACTTAAACGACCAGTAGTGGAAAGAGTACTGAAAAATCATACTTAGATAAAAGTTCTTGCCCAACAATGTAGTGCAAGAAGAGTAAAAGTATCTGTTGTAAATAATACTGAAAGTTTGAGTAAAAAGTAGAC